ACTTTTTGGGTTGAAGAATGCACTAGGGAGTGGATGAAATTTTTTGGCAGAAGAAGGCAATTCTGCGGTCTGTTTCGCGACCGCAGAACCGTTTCACGGGCCGCATAATCATCGCGGAGTTGAGTAGAAAGTTGTTGAATTTTGAGGGTTGTTTTGCGGTCCATTGTGCGATCACATAACTATTTCGCAGTCCGCACTTCTATCACAGATTTAGCATGAGGAAAATCCGTTGGGTGATTCTGCAGCCGCATAAGTGGTCTGCGGACCGCAGACCTATCGCAGACCAGTCCAGAGCAGCCCAGTTTTTAGGCATCAGTTTCGCGGTTCATTTTGTGGACCGCATACATGTTATGCGGTCCATTCTGCGACCGCATACCTGAGTTCGGAGGGTCCATTTTTTTATTTTTATAATCCGGCCCCATTTTGATAAATAGCCTTTGGGGCTTACTTTGGGGCGATTACCTGATGATTTTAGAGAGAAATAAGAGCATTTTAGAGAAAGAAGGAGGAAACCTAACACTCTAATCATCCCAATCTTGCACCAACCTTCAAGAATCAAGGAAATTAATTACTATATTATCATATATCCGGATAAGTCCTACTTCTAAGCTTTCATGCAAGAGGTTATGTGCTTTAATATATTGTGGGGGTTGGAAATAGGCCATGTATGTGACCATAGGTTGTAGTGGGTGGGATTAATGAACCATTTTGGTTAGTTTCTTGTTGAAATTAGTTGAGGGAGGAAGAGATTACCATTATAAAGCTTTATAGTCTATTTTGCATACTAGGTGTTTGATAAAATTTCTAAGAGAGTTACACCATGTGAATCCTTCTAATTATTATCCGATTTTCGCTATCTTCCTATAGATTGTTATTGCTAGAAGTGTTTGGACGTTGTAGGAACTTAAGGAAAGCCCAAACAAGGTATGTTAGCTAAACTCCTCTTTTAGAATTGAACCCCACAATGGCCTTGTAAGTCCCATGTTGCTCATTATAAATTGATTATTCCGAACAAGCCTTGTATCAAAAGATATATGCGTTCAAATCGTATTCCAAACGTTCTTCTTTGTTGAGTTACTATTTGAGAAGGTGATTAAACATGGGCTGTGTGTTAATATGTTACGATTTGAAGCGTGATTCTAATGAAAACTAGCATGTCGAATTGTGTAAGAAATCACATATGTCTAAGACCCTTAATTTAGTTAGTTACTCAAATGTGTGTCTAAAGTCTTAAATTAAAATGCCTTGTTATTGATAATCTATAAGGATGCTTGAAAGTGAAGGAAGGGGTTGGAGATGGAAAGTGTGGCCACCGTGCTAATAATGAGAGTTATACTTGTGCCCAAACATGGTTGTTTTAACTAATGTTATGCTTTGTAAGTGTTTTCAATGTGTCTTTTGCTCTTATATATATATATATATATGCTAATAATGAGAGTTATACTTGTGCCCAAACATGGTTGTTTTAACTAATGTTATGCTTTGTAAGTGTTTTCAATGTGTCTTTTGCTCTTATATATATATATATATGCTAATAATGAGAGTTATACTTGTGCCCAAACATGGTTGTTTTAACTAATGTTATGCTTTGTAAGTGTTTTCAATGNTATATATATATATATATATATATATATTCATGAGTTGAAATTGTGTGTTTGCCCTTTTTGGAAAAAGTATTTCAAGATTAAATGATGTATTACTCGTTTATGCTTCTAACTTGTGCTTTAATTGCCAACCATTTTACTCCATTTCTTAGAAAGAAATCCATTATGTTTAAAGTCTTCATTACTAACGAACTTAAAGTTGTGATTTCCGGCATATTCTATATGTTGATGTTTGATGGTGATCCTTGAAAGTAAAGAAAAGAAAGTGTGGAATATGAAATACGGTCGTCGTGCCATGAATAAAGAATCCTGTGAATGGCCAAAAGAGCCAAGGAAATATTGTTGTTGTGAGTGGTTGAAAATACTAATGAAGGTTTATACAATGTGACAGATGATGAGGTGAATACATTTGTAATTATATTACCTTTGTGTGCAAAAATAAAAAATAAAAATGGGAGTATCATGAGCAAACCGAGGAAGGGTGGGTCATAAGGTCCACACCCGAAATTACACGTGTCGGTATAAGGGTGGATTGTGATTATTTTCCTTATTTGGGATGAGATTGATATTAGCTGGAATTGGAAAGTCAACCCACACGGCATATGTGGGAAGGCGGCCTAGCCGATCGGGTGGAGATCGGACACCATGTTGCGCACATGGTGGTACTACTCTTGGTAACACGTTTCTTTCGCACCACAAGTCAAACCGCATTGTTCGTGGGGAGACGGCCTAGCCGATCGGGCGTGATCGGACTCCGTGCTAAAAATACGATGGTATATCGGTGCTAATGATCTTCCAACCAAAAATATATATTATTTTCGTATTTTGAAAATTTGTATGTTTTAACTAGGCATTTGGATATTGTTGATTGTGACTTGCTATTTCTATGATTTTCCCTTTCTTATATTGGCATTCTATTTTGAAAGTGGATATTTAACTTTACATACTAGTACTATTCCATATGTACTAACGTCCCTTTTACCGGAGGCGCTGCATCTTCAATGGATATAGGTGGTTCGTCAGCAAGTGATTTTGACCCTCGTTAGTAGTTACTCTCTATTCAGCAGATCTTGGTGATCCCTATTATGTTTCGGGCTTCATGTCATCTCACGTTGTACGTTACATTTTGAGGTATAGTCGGGGCCTTGAAATGGAGACAAAATAGCAGAAATAATAGTTCCGGGAGCAGGGCTTCGGACACAACAGCAATGAAATCAAGAAGCAAGAAGATAAAATTATATTAAGCTTTGAACAGAGTATAGCGTATGTTTGCAAGAAAATTCGTATCATTTCCAATGATAATAGAGCTGACTATTTATAGTTGCACCTAGGGAACAAGGTCCTAAGATCAAGCCCCTCTTTAATGTCAATTATGAGGATCATTGAAGAATGTGTAACGGCGGGCATGAATGCCATATTCTTTTGTAACGGGCAATGTACTAAATGCAGTAGAATATTCTTCATTAAATGCTACCGGGTGGCATACATTTATTTCGTCTTTATGAGTATCATTCTCTCCGGTAACAGACGAGATCGTTGCTTTCGATTTAAGTTATCCTCTGTCTTCGACTCCGCATGTCACTGTCTCATGCGATCATTTAATATAACATATTTTACCTCATACAATTATCTTCTTATCGAGGTTTTACCGGAAAATTAAATTCCCGTCTGCTTTATAAGACATTTTATTTTAAATGAAAAAAGTACTAACTGGACAAAATAATGCCCTCTTACTGTCCTACTGTACTTCTTGTTTAAACAATATGAGGCGCAAGATGGTTTAAGGCTTTAAGCAACTAACAAAAGCTCACTCTACAGATATTAGCACAAAGTTGGCCGTGGCTTCGGAAAAATGGTTCCAGTTGTCTGCTGATACAGGAACTTTATTTGGTCTTTGCTAGTTTATTCCCACATCGAATATGGATAGCAAAATAACAGAGGGCAGCAGGTATAATTTGAGCGAGTCAAGCAGAAGAAAAATATACCTTTCTCGGCCTTTTGGTTAAGATTAAGTGTAGTATCTGTTCTTATCAGTTTTATATTTGATATGTAAGTCATCGACTCACACGATACTAACTCTATTTTTTAAAGGGGAGAGTTCACTATGATAGCTTGCTATCTGGGCTCTCAAGTATCGCCTCGGTGTTGCACTATTACCTCGGCCTGGCACACCCCACCAATTCTAGTTTAAAGTAAATTTTGGAATCTTAAAACAGATGAGTGATCAGTAATTATCTTAGCGGAACTAAATGGTTGTTATGAAGAACTTAATCTTGTTTTGTACACCAAAATTAAAGAACTGGAGAATAAATTTGTCTCAATTTGGACAGCCATGTTTTCAGTAATTTTTATCCTTCTAAAATATCTAGCATAATTTGAAACAAGATAACTATTTATTAATTGGAGTACAACTTTTTGTAATAGTTAAATGATATATGAAAATTTTCTAGTAAAAGAAAAAGCTGTCCAATTCCACAAATATGAAGTGTCATATAGAGTAAAACTGAGAAAATATCTACTATTAGCCCCCATAGATTCCGCCCAGCCGCAACAGCATAAAATATCTCTTTATGAGTCTCCTTTATAACACTAACCTATGCAATTGAAAGCATTGCATAAGATTTGAAATAACAGTGTGTACCCTGTCAGAGAAAAAGAATAAAATGGTTAAGGCCAAAAGCAGACAACTGAATTCTGAGGTCGTCGTCCTCCAACAATCCTAATATCATAGGCCTGTCGAAATTTTAGTCAACTTAATAAATGACTTAGAAAAGCATCCGAACAAAAATCTATGTTGCTCAGACTCTCCGGAATTGTCGTTAGACGTGTGTTGGATCCTCCAAAAGTAGTGTATTTTCGAAGGACCCAACACGGGTTCGGGTATGGCAATATTTTAAAGCGTCCATACAATATAGACAAGAAGTAGGCAGGAAAGCGCGACTACGCTTCTTCAAGTTCAGGAAGAATTGTAACTTTCGTATTTAATTATGATCTTCCACTAGAGATATTGACCTGGATTCAGATATTTTACTATAATGTATGTTAACATGTACAACCTTTGTTTTCAAAGTTTACGAACAAGCTGCATTGCGTTAAAGTAACGCAATGAAGAAAAACATGTGCACTATTTCTGATTATATATTACCAGACGCGCGCAACTGTTTGTAATCGTCATGAAACTGAGCTTACATTTAAATTTCTTTTTTTGTGTCTTTTCTCGGTTTTGATTAAATTTTAAGTAAATTTATAAGCTAATTGGCTAAAAGAGAATGTACTACTGCAAAGCATAGGATTATAACTTTTATTTCATTAAAAGATTCTTATTACCATTTACAGCAGCTCAATAAGCACAGATTTATATGTAACATAGAAAAAATTTAATGCTTCCGGTTCATAATGGAAGGAACCTTATTTGGTCTTGCTAGCTTCTCCCACATCGAGAATATAAACGAAGAGAAGCAGAGAGCATCAGGTATAATTTGAACTATTCAATCTGAAGAAAAGCATACCTTTCTCGGCCTTTTGGCTAAGATCAAGTGTAGTATCTGTTCTTATCAGTTTAATATCTGATATGTGAGTCATCGACTCACACGATATTAACTTAATTTTTTAAGGGGGAGAGTCCATCATCGTAGCTTGCTATCGGGGCTTTCATGTGTCGCATTGGCGTTGCATTATTGCCTTTGCCTGGCACACCCTACCAATTCTAGTCTAATTTTACCTTTAATCTCAAGTTAACAGAATCTAGAACTGTTTTGCTATACCGGATTTTTATTGAGCATAACAAAATCAAGGTTAGTGATAAAGAACAGTCCGCCACTAATTTTACTGTTTAAGGTAAAAATCACACATTTTTTAAAAGACCTGGATTTGCTATACTATCCTTTTTCACCTACACAAAAAGCATGTAAGTCAATATGATGTACTGGTTGAAATTATAATTAGGTTTAACGTTACAAACGTACAGTCATTTAGTAGCTAAATGTTCATATACTTGAGCAAAAGTGAGACATTGTTACAAGAAACAAACTAGGCAACATAGTTTCTTGCTAAGATAAGCAAGATTCTCAAGCGCACAAGTTTGTAAAAATTGCAATAACTTCAAGCGTTACACAAGGCTTAATAAAGTAAGATCATCCATCTTTACGCAAACAATCGGTTAGATTTGTTGTTTACCTTTTCTAGCCGGTATACATAAATGATCCACTGATTATATATGATTTTACACATATTATATATGAATATTGCATATATTGTTTCTTTACCCATTTATTTTTAATTTAACCGGCTGGATGAGCGACTATAGATTAATTCTTCTTTATTAATAAAATATAAAAACTGAAACTCCAGTATTGTACCAATTCGCAAAAAGAGTGGCTCAAGTGAAAAACAGTTATACATAACATATAACAAAGAAGCAAGGACCTATAAAAAAATTGTACGGCACGCCCCTAACGGATTGATCTTGGCGGAATGTTATTATTTTTGACTGTCTTACTGAAATAAACCTATTTTTACTTGAACACCATAGTTTATCAATATTTAAAGCTTGAAATTCTTATTTGGTAGTGGAAAGTACAAGGTTAATGATCCATTATTGTTAAAATCATTTGAATGGTGATAATTTATGCTTAAATTTCTAGTTCAAACACCGATTTAATGTAAAAGAAAACTCAAAATTTCATTGTTGGACCTTAGAAAGTATTAAAAAGACAAAATGAATCTTTTTAATTTGGTGTTATTTGACTAAATTGGTGATTGAAAATTATTTGTGTTGGTATTTGGAAGTTTTGTTTCAAATTTGAGATCATTTGAAGCATATTTGGGGTGGTTTGATTGAAATTAAAGTTGCAAATTCAAAGAACACTCCGTTTAAAAGAAAAATTATGTCAATCGAATAGACTTCTATGAACAACTTAATTGATAATGTAAATATAGAATAAACTTTACAAATTCAATAGAGAAATCCCTAAAGAGTAAAATCATGTCAACCTGGTAGACTTATAAACAACTTAATAGATAGGTAGAATAAATATAATACTATAAACTCTACCAATCCAGAAATGCCGAAGAGCAATAACTGTATGCGGATCGGGGGTCATTTTTTATACACCGCCAATTTTAGGGACATTAAAACAAGCCCCAGGGTCATTCCTGTCAATCAACCAGGACCTATTAGGTTAAGTTGGACGAGGAGTGCAAAGCACTCATATATATATATGGGTGGATACTATATTTTGTCTGACAAGATCGAACAAAATGTATGACGTAACGATATACGGCATACTATTTGTACATATTAATCATTGCCGACTTCAACGGAAAAGGACCTTTGAGACAGTTTTCTTTCTTATATATATAAAAAAATCTCTTAGTTCTGTCCACTTTTGTTCAATTCTCATAAACTACTTCAAGTCGTTACCTTGAAGAAATTTATACAAAAGGTTGAATCCTAAACCTGTTTTTTCTTCTTCTATGGGTAGCTGTGAGAATTTACCAAACCATGAACTTATTAGCAGGTTGAAAAAAGATGAAGTAGCTATAATCATGGTTCCATTTCCAGCTCAAGGCCATCTCAACTAACTTCTCCAACTTTCTTGTTTAATCTCCTCTTATGGTCTTCCTGTCTACTATGTTGGCTCAGCTACACATAATCGTCAAGTCAGGATTCGAGCTAACGCCTTAAATCCTTTGGACATAGCCAAAATCCATTTCCATGACTTACCAACTCCTGAATTTGACTCCCCTGAACCTGACTTTAATTCCTTAAGCAAATTTCCCGTGCATCTTCAGCCATCATGGGATGCTTGTATGCTTTTGCGCGAGCCCATTGCTTCCTTCTTTCGCGATATTTCTTCAAAATCAAGACGAGTTGTTGTTGTTCATGATTCTTTAATGTCCTACAATGTTCAGGATGTTTCGTCCTTTCCCAATGTGGAATCTTATGTATTTAATTGCATTTCAGTATTCACTTTGTACTGTTTGATATGCATAACTAAGGGAATGTCTATCCAACTTGAGGAAGAATTGCTTAAAAAGCTACCTTCCCTTCAAGGAATAGTGACAGATGAAATCAGAGAATTCGGAGCTTCTCAGAAACCGTATATGGAAATCAGATCAGGTGATATCCATAATACGAGTAAAGTAATCGAAGGCAAGTTTCTTGATTTGTTGGCACAAGTAACAAGTGAACAAAAGAAGAAACAATGGGCAATTGGACCAATTCTCCCTACTAAATTAGATCATATCTCAAAAAAGAACAATATATGTTTGGACTGGCTTAACAAACAACCTCCAAGATCAGTTCTTTATATATCATTTGGAAGAACAACTTCATTTTCCTATAGAGAAATCAAGGAGCTTGCGATGGGATTAGAACAAAGCAAACAGAAGTTCATATGGGTGTTGAGAGATGCCGATAGAGGAGATATCTTTACTGGAGAAGCTAGAAAAGTTGAGCTGCCAGAAGGGTTTGAGGAAAGAGTAAAAGAGATAGGCTTAGTAGTTAGAGATTGGGCACCACAACCAGAAATCTTGGCTCATTCGTCGAGAGGCGGGTTCATGAGTCATTGCGGATGGAATTCTTGCATAGAGAGCATTACTATGGGAGTGCCAATAGCTGCTTGGCCTATGCACTCTGACCAACCAAAAAATGGACTTTTAGTAACGGAAATATTGAAAATAGGAATGCTTGTTAGGGAGTGGAGGAAACGCGAGGAGCTGGTGACTGCATCCACTATTGAGAATGTTGTGAGGAAGTTAATGGCATCAGAAGAAGGTGATGTGATTAGGAAAAGAGCAGAAGAACTAGGAGAGGCTGTAAGGCGGTCCACAGAGAAAGGGGGTGCTTCTCGTAAGGAGTTGGATTCTTTCATCGCGCATATCACAAGATAGACTCGTTTTTCACCACAATCTTGGGTGGCCATGGTTTCTAGATCGTTCTTCTTTGTTTTTCTCTTTTCAAGTATTTTGGTTACTTTCTCAATGTTCTTTAAACCTGTCAATTGTCTGGTTCTTGGCTCAGACTATTTTATATTACCTTAAATTTCTTTGATCTCGGTATGTTCAATATCTGAAGCTTTTTATGATAATCAAAAAATGACTGCTTTGTATTTCTTTCACTGAAGAGTGTAGCTTAATAGATAATTAATCTGGTTCTAACTATGTGGAATACAGGGTTGATGAGGAGAATAATCTTGTAAGCATTTATCAGTTGTTTGCATATGCTAAATTGGCTGTACCCATATGTCCTATATTGGACTCTTTTATGACAAAAGACTTGGTTCATAAATTCCTATGTGCTGTGTTGGTTTTTTCTTACTCTTCAATGATGTTTGATTCGTATGTACGCTGTACTTGGGATTAAATATATAACAATGTTGATATTTGTCCTTTAGAACATAAGACAGGAAGAAGCCTGTCATTGACAATAAGGGATGTAGAGTCCCAATTTCAGCCAGAAATCCACATGAAAAAAACAGTTTATTCTTGAAACACTGGGAAATGCAGAAGACAATTCTTAAATTAGGTGACATACTATCATGTCTATTCTTGAAACATGGCAAGTGCAAGTGCTATGACTAGTGCTAAGTGCTAGCATGTTGTAGCACTTGATAAAGATATACAAGCATAATTTAGAGCAATAAAATCTACTCCCTCCGTTTCTTTTTATACGAAGATGTTTGATTGGATATGGTGTCTAAGAAGCAAAGAAAGACTTTTGGAACATGTAATCTTAAACAAGCCATGACATTTCTGTGGCTATAAAAACATGTCATTAAGGGCGGTGGTCCTTGTCGTTAGCGTCCTCCGTACATATAGCTCTCAGAATCACTTGTTCCTTCGGAAAACTTGCCAACTTAATCAGTTTCCATAGCTATAACCTACCATTGAAAGATAAAAGTAAGCAACAACTGTAGTCATTCAAGAAGGGGAGAATTTAGTCCTTCAACTTCAACAGACTACAAAGAAAAACTAATTCATTTATTTTATTTTCGTAAATTATAAGATTTTGAAATTGGAATGATATTGTTGTAATTATGGCCAATATTTTGGCTAATGGAGTCCATCTCACATAAGCATAAGCATCTTTGCAAAGTGTAGACTTTGGTGGCAATATTCTTTGGGACCCAAAAATATTGCATTGTGTGTTGGACATCATTTGCACAAGTTGTATCTCTTCTTTTACACCTAAGAGGCCAAGACTTTTTTGCCTATAAAAAGGAAGGCCATTAGTTCATTTAGACACACCAACAAGACTTGTCTTCAATTCTTGTTTTTTCCTTTCTTCCTTTATTAAGAGTGTTTTGTATGAGAGTTAGTGTTGGGAAGCACTTGTGTGAACCCCTTCTTTGGAGTGATCTTGTAAGGTTATTCTTTTAGGGTTTTTGGGATTAATTAGAGTGTTTACTCTAATTTTGTACTCTCTTTTGTACTCTTATTGTTATAGTAAATTGCTCATCTCCGCTTGTGGACGTAGGTCACTTTGACCGAACCACGTTAAATTTGTGTCTTCTTTATCTACTTTAATTGTCGTTGTTATCAACTTCCATTGTCTTTGTTATTGCCATTATACCGCTGTTTGGCTATATTCCGCACTACCCAAGTTCCCGATCCTAACAATTGTCATTTTTTTTTTTTTTGAGGAAACATGAAATAGATAGAATTAGGACATGATGGATTCTATGGAGGAGATTGGGATGTAACAGATCAAATACCACTATGACTTAGCTTTGGGACGTTTAGATATATTATTGAGGATAACAAGTTCACTACTCATAAGATGTTGGGTCATCTGAATAGTATATGGATTAAGTTCTTTGGCATGAGTAGAAGTTCAACGAAAACAACTCAGAAAAGGGGAATATTCTTTTTCCACACTTAATAATTTGAATGTAAAGGAATCATGTTAGAACTTTGAAAAAATTACATGCACCTCCCTTATTGCATCTTTAATCCAACTTATTAGTTAAAAACATCCCCAGTAGCTATCATATTCTAGATCAGTAAATTTAAAATGCCAACATTACACTTCCAAGTTTTGTTCAAGATATGTTAAAGCCAAGTAAGAAGAACAAACAGGAGTTGCACATACTGCAGCAGAATAGGTATATACTAATGGTGATGGTTTATCAGCTTTTTCATTTCAAAGATCCATATTCTTTCCGTCTAATGAAACAATTCTAATTCATTATCTACTTGCCTTAATTGCATTATTCTTGAACATGGACAAAAAATCTAGAAAGTCAAACCTGTTAACTAATGGCTGACTAGTCTTCATTAGAATCAACAATATTACTCCTTTCAAGAGGTCTTAATTTTCATTTGAATATAACATACTTAAAAGGCCCAGATCTTATATAACATTAATTTCTGATATTCTACAAATGAATCCATTAGGTATATATGTTATCTTTACATTACCTATGTGGTCAAAGCTCATTGTGATAGGTGCAAATGAGACTTTATATTATCCATAAAACCAAATTCATTTATGTAACTAGAGTTCAAAAAGATTTCCTTGTACCTATATATACACTTGTATTGTGACATATGCAAGCATGCAATTCTAAGATTTTTCTTCTCTAATACTTCTATTCCTCTTAGTTAAAAGCATACCAATGGCTGATAAATGCACTTCAAAAGTGGCTGTAGTAATGGTACCACTTCCAGCACAAGGCCATCTCAACCAATTTCTCCACCTTTCTAGGCTCATCTCCATGTACAATATCCCTGTCCATTATGTTGGAACCAATGCTCACATTCAACAAGCGAAAACTCGTGTTCATGGTTTTGATCCTCTCACAATAACAAACATTCAGTTCCATGAATTTCCAACACCTTCTTATGAAACTCCCTCGCCAAATCCTAATGCTCCTCACAAATTTCCAAGCCAGCTAATCCCTTCATTCTTTGCAGCATCCCATCTCCGCGAGCCAGTTTGCTCTCTAGCACGCGAACTTGCTAGCACGACGAATGTTAACAAAGTGGTTGTTATTTATGATAATTTGATGAGTGGGGTTGTTCAAGATTTGCCTGAAATGCCAAATACTGAATGCTACTGTTTCAATCCTATCTCGGCTTTCCATAGGTATTCGTACTTTTGGGAAGTGAAAGGAAAGCCTTTACTCCCTGGAACCGAACATTATGAGGACATTCCATCAGTTAAAGGCTGTTTTTCTGCAGACTTTTGGGAATATTTGAAGGCACAAGTTGTACCCTTTGTTGGTAAGATCAGCTGTGGTGAACTTTTCAATTCATCCCGTGTGATAGAAGGTTTGTACCTTGATCTAATGGCTAAAGAGTTCAATAACCCGAAGCTATGGGCTATAGGTCCATTCAATCCTGTGGTGCTAACAGAGAAGAACAAAGACTCCAGCGAACGCCACAAGTCCCTGGATTGGCTTGACAAACAAGAACATAACTCAGTTATTTTTGTGTCATTTGGAACGACTACTTCGTTGTCTAACGAAGAAATTAAAGAGATCACGATTGGTCTAGAGAAAAGCGAGCAAAAGTTCATTTGGGTTCTTAGAGATGCTGACAAAGGAGATGTTTTTGCAAGTGAAGATAGAAAAATTCAACTGCCTGAAGGATATGAAGAGAGAATAAAAGGAAGAGGAATTATAGTAAGAGATTGGGCACCTCAATTGGAAATATTGGCACATAGTTCAACGGGTGGTTTTATGAGTCATTGCGGATGGAATTCGTGTATGGAAAGTATTTCCTTTGGAGTTCCTATTGCAGCTTGGCCAATGCATTCTGATCAGCCAAGGAATTCTCAACTTGTAACTAAGTACTTGAAAATTGGAGTTACTGTTAGGCCATGGACGCGTAGAGATGAACATGTTACATCAGAAATGGTTGAAAATACTGTGAAAACTTTGATGGATTCAACAGAGGGAGATGAGATGAGGAAAAGAGCAGCAGTTTTGAGTAATGCTATCAAGAAATCAGTGATGGATGGGGGCATGAATCGTGCTGAGATGGATTCTTTCATCGCTCACATTACTCGTTGAATTTAGATATATTGATATAACAAATATATAAAATAATAAAATTATTCTGCTAAGAATGGTTTAGTATATGAAAATATATCAGTACTCTGTTAAGCTGGCAATGACATGGCTATCTTTGATCGTCTTTATGGTAAAATAGTGCGGAAATTTCTGTTTTAAAGATGGCAGACTTTGATGTGCCTTGCCTAGGAACTGTTCTTGTTGCTTCATATATTCAAGAATCGTACCTTGTCTTACTTAAACTATTTTATTTTATTATTATCTACAAAAAATTGAAAGAAGAATATGTGTATTGAATTGAATAGCGAAAGTAATGTACTAACCACTATATGGCCATATACATTAGCCAATGCAGTCTGAGTTTTTAAAATTTGCATGAATAACCAAGTTGCAGCTTATATGGCTAAATAAGAGTGCGTTCCTGCCTAGGATTAGAAATTGTATTTTAAATATCCTAAAGACTTCACAAGACAATTATTTACAACAGCTCAGTAAACTGTTTGCAAATACCAAAGTAGCCTCAGGGAGTAAGCACAGAGTTGGCCGTAGCTTTGAAAATATGGTACCAGTTGTCTGCTATAAAAGTAATTTTATTTGGTCTTGCTAGTGTATTCCCGCATCGGGTATGGAAAAGAAAACGAGCAGAGAACATCAGCTATAATTTGAGCGATTCGGGAAGAAGGAAAGCATACCTTTCTCGGCCTTTTTGCTAAGATCAAGTGTAGTATCTGTTCTTATCAGTTTAATATTTGATATGTGAGTCAGTGACTTACACGATATTAATTTAATTTAAGGGGAGAGTCCACCACGGTAGCTTGCTATCGGTGTTGCACTATTACCTTGGCGTGGCACACCCCACCAATTCTAGTTCCAATA